AAGTACATGCATACATAAATACATATCACTTATGTACATATATGCACATACTTACATATGTGCGTGCGTTTTCGTGAATTTGCATTTGTATTGCCGCCTCAACGTCAAATGAATCACAAGCAGTTAAAGCCAATTGTGGCGCTCGGTTGAAAGCGAAAACGTCAAAAAAAGGAGTTGCAAAAAGACACGAAAAAGAAAAAAAAAACAGCAGCAGCAGCAGCAGCAAAACCAACAAAAACAACAGACAGACGTGACTCAGCAAGCAGAACAAAGAGTGTTTGGGAGAGTCGAGAGTTCGGAGAAAGAGGGGGAAGAGAAAGGATAGGGAGAGAGTGTCAAGCTGTGCTAAAAAAAACTGTCAAAAAAAAAAAAAGGAAACGAGCATAAAGAAAAGGAAAAGCAAATATAAATATAGAATAAGCTGTAGCATAATTTGAATGCCCTAGCAGAAATAATTACATACATACATAAATATAAATATTAGCAGCCATATTTAAGCTATTTTGCAGAACTATACAAAGGTGACTAAGTCACAATTCGCCAAATCCAAAAAGCAATGCAATTATGCAATAAACAGCATTCCAGATAAATCTCACATACACACATATACACGCACACCCTAATCCAAAAATTCTGCTGCTTGCGGGCTGTAGGGTGTGCGTAAAGTGCGTGGTGTCTGTTTGGGGTTTGCTTTTGCTTATTTCAAGGACAGCAGCTGCTCTTGCCGGGCTGTCGCCAGCTGCACTTGATGGCCAAACAGAGCGAGGGAGATAGGGCGTGCACACACACACATACACCCGTATGCATACGTGCACAGTTATAACAACATAAGTATGTATGTATGTATTGCATACAGTCTGAACTGCTTGGGTGAGAGACAATTGTTTTGATGGGCAATCTAAATAGTTATTTTTATTTCTTTTTTCTTCATTACACATCAACGCAATTATAATTAATTTCTTTATCTATTTTGGGACATTTTTAATTACAATTAGAGTTTTGGTTCAATTCCAATTGGAATGCTCAATCAATGGAAGATCTGATGATTCATTTCTTCTAGAGTTTACTGTATTCAAGAATATTATTAGAGTACATTACATACATAGATATATTATTAGAGCCTTAGTAGAATTCCAATTGGTAGAATGGTGCAGCTATGGCTTCTAGCTTGCAATGGTAGAACACTGATGATTCATTTATTGTAGAGTTCACTGTATATCATGTACATTATTGTCTTGAGCAGACTGCCTCGCGACAAGGGGGCTTCCAGCAATGCGTTTAGCAGGAGTGAAGTGCGATGTGTTCGTGCATGTGTATATGTGTGTGTGTATATATATACCTGATTTCCGGCACTCGACGGAAGCATTCGATTGCCGTGCTGGTTGATACGCAAATGGTTGACAATGCAAACCAAGTCTCAGACGTTGTCGTTGCCATTAGCCACAATATATATGTATGTTTGTAAATATACATATATATATATATATATATATATATATATATTTACATAGGTATAAAATATAAACGTGACTCAGTGTAAGGCGCGGCAGGTGAGGGCTAAAGAGAGGGAGAGAGTGAGGGGTGGATGGGCACTGGCATTTATAGTCTGTGCTGCTGTTGCCTGGAATACAAATTGCTAATTGCGCTGCCGCTGCCGCTGCGGCTGTGCTACCGCCGCCGGCTCAATGCAGATCCTGATGGAGAATTATTGATTTGCCAGCAGAGCAGTTCGAGGGGGTTGGCACGTGCAAAATGAAGCTGAAACGAAAACGCAGCAGCAGCAGCAACAGCGACGATAGTCAGGCAGCACACGCCCCAGCAGCGCATCAGGCTGCTGAAATGGAAACAACAGATACACACACACACACACACTCACACACAAACACAGGAATTTTCGTGTTTATTTTATTCCTTTGTAGCCCGCAAAGAACAAAGGAAAATGCATTTAGCAGAGATGTGGGGTTCTATATTATATACATAGAAATATATATATGTTTAATATATTTATATACATATTATTTGTTAGCGTTGAGAAGGCCAACTTCGCATCGCTACAACTTTGAGTTAAGCTAAATCAGAGCAATAAACGGTTAATAAAGTGCGAATAGCAACAAACTCAAAGCAGCAGCCACAAGATCAGCAACAAATTGATTGACAGAAACAGTTACGAATTGATATGTATAGATACATATGTATGTATGTATGTAAGTCTTATATGAAGTCAAAGAGGGTGCGTGATATGTCTGCGAGCTTTTGACTGCCGGTCTATCTGTTTGATTGAGAGCAAACAAGTCAAGGCAAGGCAAAAGAAGTTTACGGGTAATCATCATTCATCTGGCAACATTGTGCGTGGCCACAGAGAGTCTACACTTCCAAATTGAGAGACAGACAGAGAGAGAAAGAGAGACCGAATAAGAGAGCGGGTTGAGAGAGAGCAAGCTTAATAGAGGCGGCTGCCACTGTGAATGCCAATGTCAAGGCAATTAGCCAAAAGCCGGTTGGAAAAATCAACAACGAGGCGCAGCAAAAACAATGCCAACAGAAAAGCGGCAGCGCAGCAGCAGCAGCAGCAGCAGTAGAGGAGGACGCTAAAGGGGAGGAGGAGGAAAATCGTAAAACAAGGCAAGCGAAAAATAAAAAGCTATGAAATGAAGCTAAAGTTTACAGAGCTGCTGCCAGAGCGACTGTGACGTCGCTTGCCATAGATTTTATGACTTGCAAGAGGTGCGCGATGCCGTGCTTAATGGGGAGGGCGGCAAGTGAAGTGAGGTGGGGTGTGGTGCGGTGGGGGGATGCCAGCAATGTGAAGATGTATACTGAAACCTGGAACTGGAGCACATCAACTGAGAGAGAGAGAGAAAGATGAAACGAAGTGCGTGTGTTCAAGTTTGATTATATTTATGTGTGTGTGCGTGTGCGTGTGAGTTGAAAAAAATGAAGCAGGCCCGAATGCATTTGAAGCCATGTTTGGACAAGGCACGTTGAAAGGAATTCACTTACTTTCTTTGTTGCTCGTTGGGCGTCGCTGTGTTGTTGTTGCTGCTGCTGCAGTTGACAGTGTTTTAATTACCGTTTTAAATGGCAATTTTGCTTATTATCCTTTGCCCGCGCTATCTTTCTCTGTTTGTGTCTGTCTGTCTGTCTCTTTACACCGCTAGGTTGCTTCGGTTAGCTTTAGTTTTAGTCGCCGTTGCTTTTCGTCGTTTTTTATTTGCGCTCCTCTGCTTTTGCCGGTGTTTCTACTACACGCCTTCGCCTGCCTCTGTGTGAGTGCGTTTGCCTGTGTGTGAATCGTCTCGTTTCTATTTGTGTGAATGTGTATGTGTGTATAGGTTTACATATGTATGTGTGTGGGTGTAAGTCTGTTGCACCCTTCACTTCCAATTCAAATTCTGGTAGGTAAACGAACAAAGTAACTTTGGCCTTAGTTCAAATTCACACTCACAATAAAAAATCAGAAAAAAAATATTTACGTAAACAAATTACAGGCAAACAATTATCGAAATATATTTCTTTCGCTTTAATTGGTTTGTTTATTGCTTAAGCTCAGGTATATTTTCGCGTATGCCGCTGGATGCTTTTGTTTCGCTGGCGCCTATTCACGTTCGTATGCGTGTGTGTATATGTTTGGTATGGCAAAAGGATTTTTCACGATTTCAAATTTGCTGATAGACGCATGCGCGCACAATAGGATCACAAGATTCGGATGAAGAACACAACCGCTCACGACCTGCTCTCGAATTGGAATGGAATCCCTTTGCAGAGCCATATACAATTTAAATCTAGCATGTCTGTTAGTGCGCTGTTAGCTCATCGAAGCTGTTAACGCTATTGTGAGCGGCAATAACATAAGCTGTGCCACAGAAAACTACCAAATGAGTAAGTGGCTGAAAACCAGTGAATCTAAATGTAAAGATTACCAATTTGACCTAGAATAAAATTAATTTGATAATTTTGAGCTCAAGTGATTCTGTTAGTATAGCATTTGGTATTCTCGAATAATGTTAAGTATGCCATACTGTTAGTGAACACTGTTGTTGCCAATCAAGTCTTGCCAACTCGGCGAAAGTGCTGTTAGAGGACTGTTGGGTTTGAAAAAAAAAAAAAAATGTAACGGTAAATGGGCAAAGGAAATGCGCATAACTTGAACTTGACGAATTACCGCTAAATCAGCAGCCGCCACGCAATTTGATTTACAGCTATCCATGCATCCATCCATATTCACACAAAGCAATGCTAATGCCAGCCAGGCAGCCAGCCAACTAACTAACTAACTAACTGCCCAACTGCAACCGACTGGGCTGCATGCTTGGTGTGGCAAGGTAGCCCGACTGTCGCCATGCTCTGTTAATTTTTTAAATGCGCGCATGCATCTTCAATCTGGCTGCATTCGCCCATCTTAAGTGCTTCTTGCATTGCATTTATATTTCGTGTGTTAAAACAAAAGAGGAACAAAATAAATGAGAAAAAAAAATTGGTCTGCTAGTCAGCTGCCGATTTCACCGTCACTGCAAAGGCAAGAGCAAACGTACCAAATCCTTAAACACACAATCCATTAATATTAATAATGACTGTACCATACTTTAGATGTACAAACATATATACAAATATAAGTATGTAATTGCTAATCAGTTGCATATTTCTCTTTAACCAGCATTTTTAGTTTTAAAAGCATATATGTACATACATATATGTATGTACATATGTGTATATATTTCTGCATTGCATGCCTCGTGATTTTCTGCTATTTTAAACAAGTCAATTATGAACCGCAAATTATGTTTGGCACGCCAAACATAAGTACAACAAATAAACAAAAAAAGAACAATAATGCTAAAATCGAAATGAGGCAAATTAATGTTTTCAAAGAAATTGCCGGGGAACAGCTGTTCATCAACTGTTATGGTTCGCAATGTTGGCGTAACAGCGCTGTCAAATGGTCGGCGATTTGTCACACTAGTTGGCAGCCCTGGCGCCCAGTTCACAGAGGCCGAAAAACAGCTGACGTCTCAGCAGGCAGTCAAGTTGACAGCTTGGTCGCAGAGCCAGAGCCTAAAGCCAGAACAACGCGAATCAAACACGAAACGAAATAATGCTCAGTTAATTTAAATTTAAGTCGAGAGCAGCACTTTTATTTAACTTTTTTTTTCGTGAAAATTGTGTGCTGCTTTGTGTGCAACGACATTAGATTATTTTAAGTACACGCGACTACAATTCGAAGGCGACGTTTTTCACCAGTTTCATTCAACAAGCAAATTGATTCCGCCCGCAGACCCGACCCGACCAGCCAGCTAGCCAGCCAAACAATCTTCGGCCCTATTGGAGAACGTCTGTTTTTTGTTTCTATTTTTCACAAATTTTATTATTATTTTTTGTTGGTTTTATTTTTATTTTATTACATTGCTTTTTTTTTTTACATTACGGGCGCAGTAATTACAACAGCAAAACAATTGAAAGACTGCGGCATTGCATTAAAGAAAAAAAAATAATAATAATAAGTAAAGAACAAGAAAAACAACAACAAATTGCACAAGAAACGCTCAAATCGGTTGACAGGGAGGGGGTTGGTTGTCACTGGCCAATACTCGAACCCATTTAACCAGCACTAAACAAAGCAAATGCAGCAGCAACGCTTACACTATAACAACAACAATAGCAACAACACTAAAACAAAATCTAAAGCCAAAAACCAACAAGAGCAGTAATAACAAATAGTTCTTAGCTGCCATCGCTTGTTGTCTCACACGCTCTTATTCGTTCGCACCGCTGCGATTTGGCGGGGGTGTAGAGTGTAGCGCGTGCTCAAACAAAAACAAAACAGAAAGAAAAAAGCAGGCAAGCACACACACATGCAAACACGCTCGCACTTGTAAAGACGCAAGGAGAAAAAAAAAATCACAACATAGTAGTTCCGCCTTTGATATAAGACAAAACTACAAGCGTTTTTACATAGAGCACATTTAGGCGTGTGAATGTAAGCAGCAGGAAAACAACAAGGCAATAACAACATTAAGCAGTCAATCAATTAATCAAACAACCAAGGACGTATGTGCTGGACACACATACGCCAACCAAATGGATGTCCTGGAATTGCTTCGTGCGAGCGTTAACGGCTGTTACAACACATTATTCTCAGATGCTTGGTCGCAATATGTCTCCAAACAAATCGCCACAACGGTAAGTTTCCCAGAGTCAATCAATGTTAATGTTAAGTGCAACAAACTGTCAATGTTAAGTACACATGCATACGCACATGCACGCGCTCACACATACAACACACACAAACGTGCACTGTGCGCGCTTTCTTTGTTTTGAGAGGGGCTCGTCGTGACTCATGTGAGTATGTGCACGTGTGTGTGTGTGTGAGTGAGTGTGTACAAAGTTCTGCTCAGTTCAAGCAGGATAACATGCAAGTGGTTGCTGACTCTTCGCAGCGCGATCGTTGAACAGCGGCAGCAGCAGCTGTTATTGTTACGTTTGTTCGGCTTGTCTTATTTTCATCTCTTTTATGCTAACTCACACGCGCAAGTTTTATACACACGTACGTACGCGTGTTGCGTGTGTGTGGGTTTGGCATTTTGCGCTGCGCACACTTCCGTCAACATAAAGCGTTCGGTCGCCGTGTTTTGATTCGCAGACAAATGCTGCTAACTTATATAAACATGCTTAAAGATACAATCAAGCATTTCAACACACATACATATACATATATCACACTTACGTATGTATGTGTAGGTGTATGCGTGTTTGTCTTATCGTTGGGCATGGGAGTGATAATAGCTTAAAGCGTGACCCCGCAAGCGCATCAGGCATAGCTGATTACGCTGATTAGACAGCCAATGCCAGTTCCAATTGGATTTAGTTGGCTAAGGCAAATAGAAAGAGCTACGCACGTGCAGGAACGACGCACCCGCCCCCACCAAAATGAAAAAAAAAAAAAAAAAAAAACAACATTTGATAGCCAAATCAGTTTGCTATAATTCAATTAACCCCTTGGGGCCAAATCAATTTAAAGCCGTGTCTTGTGACTTTTTGTTGCCAAGCGTCGCTCTAAGATACAAAGGAGATATTGAAGTTCAGTTGGCATGACTATACGCTACCCTCTACCAGACTCATGTCAAAGGCTCGCTATAGGCACCATAATAAATATTTAGTTGATCTATGCTATATTCATATTCACAATTCACAATGTTATAAACATAGAATTTCAGCTAAAATAATTTCCATATAAGTACATATGATTGATATGTATGTATGTGTATGTATGTTATGTATGCTTGTTTCTGCCTGTTACAGACATTTCCTTGACTTGAATATCCATATGTACACTCTCTTTATAGTCTATTTTTAATGTGTAAACATTCACATGCGTGTATAAGTGTGCATGTGTGTACAATAATACAACTCATCGTGTAGGTGCGTGCAAATACCTAAGTACACGCATACACATACATGCACTCACATCCATACATATGTATGTACATACATTTAGAGTACTCAGATTTTTGTTGCATGGTCATACTGAGTATTAAGAGTTATACAGAAAATATTTTTATCGTTTCAAATTAACTGGAAATAAGACAATATCAGTCGAGCTTTGTTTTCATTGCGCATTCCCAATAGTTGTGCCGCTGCCACCAAAGTTGTTTTGATTTTATTTTTGCCGCATATGCTGAAACCTGTTACAGAAATAAATCATAAACGAATAAATAGCACCAACCACAACAATAATAACAATAACAATAACAAACGCAAATGCAGCGATAGCGAATGTCAAAGCAAAGAAAATGCAATTCAAACGCGGAAGAGGCAGAGCGCCCAATAACAACAATACCAAGAAAAAAAGAGCACCAACAACAACAAGTGTTGGCAGCGACGCTTCAATATTAACATCGCCGTCGCCGTTGTGCATGCAAAAATGTGCTCAATTGGCAAAAGTGTGAGAGCATAAAGAGAATGAGAGCACAGCAGAGCGCGTGTGAGAGTGAGTGAGGAGTGAGTGGGATGGTTAAGTGTGCTCGCTCATGGGAAGTATAGCCATGCATTACGGTTGTTTTGCATACAAATTGACAGGCGCGCAGAACTTCTAATACGCTATATACATTGTATGCTAATGCAGAAGAGACTTATTATGGCTAGTGTGTTGAGTATGTGTGTCTGTACATATGTATATGTATGTATGTGCATATGCATGTCTTATGAATAATTGTGGATCTGTCGCATGTGTTTTTGTGTTACATGTGTTTCAAGGCCATTCAGCAGTCAGTGCAGCTGACATCTTAATTGCTCTTTATTATTGTTTCTATTGTTTGTTTATCATGCTCACAATTGTTATTTGTATTTATTTGCTTTTTCTCCTTCGTCGATATCGATATCCGCCCGCAGACGTACTGGTATGGCGCGTTGCTGGCTATCGGAGCGCTGTTTATCGCCTGGTTTCTGTATTTCAAGCGCTTGGCATCGTTGCGCCTGCGCGATGAAAGCGCCCGTACACTGAGCGCTCTCACCGCCGCCTCGGGCGGCGATCATCGCGGCTTGCGATTTCGCAAACGCGACAAAATGCTCTTCTATGGCCGCCGCATGTTGCGCAAAATGAAGAACGTCAGCGGCCAGATGTACAGCAGCGGCAAGGGCTACAAACGGCGTGCGGTGATGCGCTTCGCTCGCCGCATCCTGCAGCTGCAGCGCGAGAATCGTCCGCTCGAGATGAAGACAGTGGAGCCGCCGGCGGAATATCTGGAGGAGACTATCGATGGCAGCGATCGTGTGCCACCAGATGCTCTCTATATGCTCCAAAGTATTCGCATCTTTGGGCATTTCGAGAAGCCGATCTTCTTGAAGCTCTGCAAGCACACCCAGCTGCTGCAGCTTATGGCCGGTGACTATCTGTTCAAGATAACCGATCCGGATGACAGCGTCTACATCGTCCAGTCGGGAATGATCAATGTCTACATCTGCAATGCCGATGGCAGCACACTCTCGCTGAAGACGGTGCGCAAGGGTGAATCCGTGACATCGTTGCTCAGCTTCATCGATGTACTGTCTGGCAATTCCAGCTACTACAAGACAGTTACGGCTAAGGCCATGGAGAAGTCGGTTGTCATTCGGCTGCCCATGCAGGTGAGTTGTCAAGAGTGGAAGATAGAGAAAGAGTAGGATATAAAGATCGAGAAGGGAAAGTATAAAGAGAGAGAGGGAAAGTGAGTAAGTGAGAGGCTAATGCAGCGGGAGAGAGTATGGTTTGAATGAGACCCAGAGAGAGAGAGAGAGAGAGAGAGAGTAAAGGGGAGAGATAGATATTATAGATACCCTGTATATTTTAATATATAATAGATATAGTCACAAATTTTATTGACCTTCCTTAGTTTATAATACTAATATTCCATCCTATTCGACAGGCATTCGAGGAGGTGTTTAACGAAAATCCGGATGTGATGATACGTGTGATACAGGTGATAATGATACGGCTGCAGCGTGTGCTCTTCACAGCATTGCGCAATTACTTAGGCCTCAATGCGGAGCTCGTGCAGAACCATATGCGTATCAAGGGCAGCAATCCAGTGCCCGTTACGGTGCCTGGGCCGGTGCTCTCTCAGGCCTCACAGGCATCGCGTGCAATGGCCTCACGGCCAGCTACATCGCCGGTCACACGTATGTCGCGCGAGGAGCACACACTCTCCGACCCGGATCCCAATCCGAATGCCAGTGCCATGCTCTTCGCCGAGGTGCACGGCGATGCGCCCTACATTGATCTGTACCATCACCAACAGCAACAGTCGAGCGGTGTCTCGGTTGGTGGAACTCATCGCAGCTCGGGTGCCTGTACACCCACTGGCAGCGGCGGGGAATCACCCGATGGCACGGGCAATGCCACCATCACCAACATCGATCAGCGTCTGGTGCAATCATCGGCCGTCGACAGTTTGCGCCGTGAGCTCGGCCTGAGTGAAGAGGATACGAGCATTATTGAGCCATTTGTTGAGGTCCGCGAATTGGAGCCGAACGTGACGCTAATCACCGAGGGCAATGCCGAAGATGTGTGCATTTGGTTTGTGATGACCGGCACCCTGGCCGTCTACCAGAGCAACGCGGATGCTACGCGCGCCGCCAAGCAGGACAGCAAAAACGACATGCTCATCCATTTCGTGCATCCCGGCGAAATTGTTGGCGGCCTGGCCATGCTCACCGGTGAGGCGAGTGCCTATACCATCAGGGCTCGCAGCAATAGCCGTATTGCCTATATACGCCGTGCTGCTATCTATCAGTGAGTATGCTCCGTAGTTCTTTGCATCCGCAGAGCTAGTTCAGTGCAGATCCTTTAATTAATTCTTATGTTTTCTCCACTTTGCCAGAATAATGCGCCAGCGTCCACGCATTGTCCTCGATTTGGGCAATGGAGTTGTGCGCCGTTTGTCGCCGTTGGTGCGTCAGTGTGATTACGCTCTGGATTGGATATTTCTGGAGTCGGGTCGTGCCGTCTATCGGCAGGACGAGAGCAGCGATAGCACATATATTGTGCTAAGCGGACGCATGCGTTCGGTCATCACGCATCCGGGCGGCAAGAAGGAGATCGTCGGCGAATACGGCAAGGGTGATCTGGTGGGCATTGTCGAGATGATAACCGAAACGTCGCGCACCACCACAGTGCTGGCTGTGCGCGACTCGGAGCTGGCCAAATTGCCCGAGGGCTTGTTCAATGCCATCAAATTGCGATATCCGATTGTGGTAACACGGCTAATTAGTTTCCTTAGCCATCGCTTCTTGGGCTCGATGCAGACACGCGGCGCCAATGCATCCAGTGCGCCCGTTGAGGCCAATCCCGTAACGCACAAATATTCAACAGTGGCCCTCGTTCCCATCACCGACGATGTGCCGATCACACCCTTCACCTATGAGCTATATCATTCACTCTGTGCCATTGGTAAGTCTAGTCTAGCTCGTTGAAAGATATTTAGTCTGGATAGTCTCGAACGACCTGAGAGGGAGGAACACGGTTTAGTATAGGATTTTTACATTCTTACGTAGATTAATTGTAAGTCTTATTAAATATTACTTCGGTAAGGAAAAAATAGATTTCCTGTAGGTTTCTTTCAAGAATAATTTTGTTTGGAAACAAAGTGAGACATTTAAGAAGAAGCTATCCCATTCTTCTCGTATTTATATAATCTTTGTAGTTATAGAAGCTAGCATCTCTGTTTTGTTTGATTTTAAATTGACTTAACTAATGTGTAATCCCGTTCCTCCCTTCTGCAGGTCCTGTGCTCCGTCTCACATCGGAGGTGGTGCGCAAGCAGCTGGGCAACAATATATTTGAGGCGGCCAACGAATACCGTCTGACCTCGTGGCTTGCACAGCAGGAGGATCGCAACATAATCACGCTCTATCAATGCGACAGTGCGCTGAGTCCCTGGACACAGCGGTGCATGCGTCAGGCAGATGTGGTGCTAATTGTCGGCCTGGGCGAACGCTCCCATATGGTTGGCAAATTCGAGCGGGAGATCGATAAGCTAGCGATGCGCACACAAAAAGAGCTCGTCCTGCTCTATCCGGAGACAACGAACGCCCGGCCAGCGAACACGCTCAGCTGGCTCAATGCACGTCCCTGGGTGACCAAGCATCATCATGTGCTCTGTGTGAAACGCATCTTCACACGCAAGAGCCAGTATCGCATTGTGAGTGGGCAGCATTCGATATTCCATATTTCATTTCGTTCCATTTCATTTCATCTCTGATTTATGTTTACCGTTTAGAATGATCTGTATAGCCGCGTGCTGCTCTCCGAGCCGAATATGCATTCCGATTTCTCTCGTCTGGCTCGGTGGTTGACTGGCAATTCGATTGGCTTGGTCCTGGGTGGGGGCGGTGCTCGTGGTGCTGCCCACATTGGCATGCTGAAAGCCATACAGGAGGCGGGTATACCCATTGATATGGTTGGGGGCGTCAGCATTGGCGCGCTGATGGGCGCCCTCTGGTGTTCGGAGCGCAATATAACTACCGTTACACAGAAGGCGCGCGAATGGTCAAAGGTATGATTACCCAATAGTGTGGTACTATACTATATAACATAATGCGTCGATTGCTAAACATAATTTCATATATTGTAGAAAATGACAAAATGGTTCCTTCAACTGCTAGACCTCACATACCCTATAACATCGATGTTCTCGGGCCGTGAATTCAACAAGACCATACACGATACCTTTGGCGATGTGAGCATTGAGGATCTGTGGATACCCTACTTTACGCTCACCACTGACATAACTGCCAGTTGCCATCGCATTCACACCAACGGTGAGTATCCCATTGGCTGCTGTTGCTATCTCATGCACTCATTTTTTTTTGCTGCTCGTGTATTATTAGCTTGCGTTTCATAATCTTACTCTTTTAATCTCATATTTGCTATGTATGTACGTACATATATGTATTTGTTTTTTAGTGCTTAATACGTCTTTGGTTTATCTATTATTGGTGTTTTGATTCTTTTATGTAGCTTGTAGATAGAACACAAACACAAGCACACATTTATACACCTACACATACATGCACGAATATATACAAACAGAAATCAACGGAACTGAGAGACGTTTACGTAAATCCAATTTGAGAGCGACAATTTTGACTTGTGTGTGTGTGGCGCCATCTAGTGGCAGATCTTACCTAATGCCTTCGCAGAACTCTCCTTGTAAATGTTATGGTCGTTGTTGTTCTTGTTGCTATTATCATTGTTGTTATTATTGCAGCGAAAAAAAACAACGGTTTTTTTTTAGAAGGAGCTGGATAGCTAATAGTTTATCTAGGAGCATTTTAGTATATCAAATGCATAAATAAATATATTTAAAATTTTCATTTATGTTTTCATTTAACGTAAATCTAAATTCATGCTCAATGTTGTTGGATTATCTGTTGTCAAATTTGCTGCTCTTGTATTTTGTTTCTCTCTTTCTCTCTCTCTCACTCTGCTGCCTGCCCTATTTGTGCGTACGTGTTTGTGTCTTAGCTAGAAACTAACCTGCTGCCAAACGAAAAAAAAAACCAAAACAAAATAGAATTAATTAACGAACTGTGATTGGTCAATACGCTCACTCTTACAAACGAAGCTCACACTCAAAGCTGTTTTCCTCTCTCTATTTATTTCTCTCTTTACACACACGCACATAAATATACTCACGTACATACACAAATATACAAATACACTCTTACACACATACACATACATGCTCGCTCACTTGCCAAAACAAACTGTCGCAGGATCTCTGTGGCGTTATGTGCGCTCCTCAATGTCACTCAGCGGCTATATGCCGCCCCTATGCGATCCACAAGATGGACATCTTCTGCTGGATGGCGGCTATGTAAATAATTTGCCAGGTAAATAGCAATTAGCAACTTAGCAACTAAAAAATCAAAAGAAAAACACATCCGATATAATATATTCTCTCAATATCAATTTTCAATTTAGAGCTATTGATGGCACAGAGAGAAAAAGAGAGCGCAGAGTGTTGGATTAATGAGTCAATGAGACTGTAAAACTATAATTGTAACTGTAACTGCAACTCTACTCTGTATCTAATGTCATTGCATTGAATATACTTCTTGTTCTCCTTTTCCGCTGATCCCACTGATCCCCCCGTCCGCTGATAGTCTGCGCGCACAACCATATTTATTCCATTATGTTGGCAACGCTGTCAACAGCTGGCAGCGCCGCAACGTATTTCCGATTGGACATTTTGAGTTCGTTCCCATTCGCACCACCCAATGACAGACATACACAAACACACACACTTAAACTTTCCATACACGGAATTAGTTGCAAATATTGTTTTTTATTTTTTATTTATTATTATTTACTTTTCACAAGTACAAACTTGTATTGCACATACATATGTAATTATTGATTTCGTTTGTATTTTAAAGCAGACACATTTAGTTTTGCTTTTGAAGTTTTTTAGTTGTGTAATTTGTATTTGTATGTGACTTATTTGTTGTACTTTTGATGCTGTACAAACAAGCAAACAAACACCTTTTGAACCGTAGTGTAGTACCACAGTAAATATACATAGAACCGTTATTTCGTTTGCGCACTTAAACACACACACCTACTTGCATACATATGTACATTCACACCCAGCAACGACGGCAATATAAATTGTGTATTCTTTTTCTCTCTTCCTCTCTTCTCTTTTTACCTACACACACATACAAACCAAACTCTACATGCATTTGCACATGTATACGTGTGTGTGTGTGTGTTTGTCACACTCTCACTCTCATCACCACACACATACATATTGTCCATTCTGCGTGCCTGTGTGTGTGTGCGCGTGTGTGCGCGCTTGTGCAACCGTTTGATCAGGTCATCTGTGGCGCTATTGCCGTGCCAGTATGTCCATTGCCGGCGTCTTTCCGCCTTTCTGTGATTATCGTGACGGGCACCTGCTGCTCGACGGATGCTATACGAACAATGTGCCAGGTAACCCAATAACAGCAACAGTAACAGTAACTGTGTTTGTAACAGTTCACGTACAGTAACAGTGTCTGATTGGAAAAGAGTTTCCATGCACTGTTAACAGCAACATTATCCGTGGCTGTTACATTAACAGAATCCAACACTCTGCGTCCACTCTGGACCATCACTCAATCAATAGCTCTTCACCAACACAATTTTACATTCACTGCTAACCATGTACACCCACTTAACATTTGTATGCTAAAAATAACAAACGTAGCCGATGTTATGCACAATCTGGGCGCCGCGCACATCATTGCCATCGATGTGGGCTCACAGGACGACACGGATTTAACCAACTATGGTGACGATCTGAGTGGCTGGTGGCTGCTCTATAAGAAGTGGAATCCATTTACATCGCCGGTCAAAGTGCCCGATCTGCCGGATATACAATCACGCTTAGCTTACGTGTCCTGCGTGCGGCAGCTAGAGGTACGAGTAGAATATCTATATAGAATATTTACTAATTTCGATTCTCGAATTTCTCTTGCGTCTCATTAACAGGAAGTGAAAAACTCGGACTATTGCGAGTATATACGTCCGCCCATTGATAAATATAAGACACTCGCCTTTGGCAGCTTCGATGAGATACGCGACGTGGGCTACGTCTTTGGCAAAAATTATTTTGATAATATGGCTAAAGCGGGCCGCTTGGGCCGCTTCAATCAATGGTTCAACAAGGAGCCGCCAAAGCGTGGCAACCACGCCTCGCTCAACGAATACACATTCATTGATCTGGCGCAGATCGTCTGCAAGCTGCCAGAGACGTATGCCTTAAATGCGGTTGATATATTTAGCGAGGATGAGGATTTCGATGGCTATATCTCGGAGCCAACGACTCTCAATATGGTATGCTTTCCAATGGTCTAACTGATCCAACTGATTTCCAACTTAACTCTGTTTACTCTCATTCTGTGTAGGATCGTCATCGCATTCAGGTGCCACGTGCTGGCAACTCGTTATCCTTCTCAGAGACTGAACTGGACTCGGATGTGGAGATCGATCTGGAGCTGGAGCGCAAGGTGGATAAGTCGACGCAATCGACACCGCCGACGCCAAACAAGAAGCATCCATCGACACCGACATCCAGTCAAGGGAATCTAATGCATTTGCCATTGAGTATGAAGGCAAAGGATAAAATGCAAATTCTCGATAAATTGGAAAGGGAGCACAAGCGTCGCCAGAAGTCGAAGCACAAGCGTGACAGGTCGATGCAGCGCGACAGCAAAGCCACATTGCATCCGGCTCCGATGGCCGAGGCGACAACTCAAACGCCTTCTAGCGATGTGGACATAGACGCGAAACTGGATCAGCTGCGAAAATTGCAGCAGGAGCTGGAGCAGGGGAATGAGTCAGAACAGGAACAGGAACAGGAGCAGGAGCAGGAGCAGGGCCATATTCAGGAGCCGGAGAATGTTACAGAAGCCGATACCAAAAACTAGCTATAATTATGAAAGACCGCCAAAAACTATTGGCTAAATCCCACACACACATACGCAGATACACACACTATCATACACACACACATAAGTGAATATATATATATATATATATGTAGATATGTGTATATATATATATATATATATATATATATATATGTATATATATATATATATATTTGATAGCAGAAGTCGGAGTCGGAATAGGAGTCGAAGTTGGTTAAGAAAACCTCCATTAATTATGTAGTTAATCCATGACAACAAAAGAAGTTTGTTAATGTTCAGTTGAATAAGTGTATATCATATTTAGGCATAGCTTTAGCTAATCTCTCCCACACACACACACACACACACACACAAAAGACACACACGCCTTGTATATTACTGATATATATATATATATATATATATATATATATATATATATATATGTATCTTGATTTATATACATATGTGTATATTTGATGGCTCCTATGACAGAGCCATCTATAAAATATATATCACTACATATATATATTTTTACTTACACAAACACACCTGATGATATATACACTAGATATACATTCATTCTGTATATATATTTATATATGCATATATATATAACTATATGTATACAAAGGACTATATATATAAGTATATATATACATATATACATCTATTTAGATGCCAGCTACATGGACTTTCGTATGTACAGCTGGCATCTCTGCAGCCCTCCATTCCGCTACACTATCTGCACACATGTTTAACTCACACTCACACAAATTTGCACTCACACACACACACACATACGAAAACACAGCTCCCTAGCAACTAGTTAAAATAAATGAAAAGAAATGAAAAGAAAATCGTGTTTGTTAAAGTTCGATTTTATTTTATTCAATTTTTTTTTTAAAGCTGAGCAAGCAAATAAATATAAGGAATTTGAAAGTACAATTCTGAAAGCAAGGCATTTTATTTTGATAATACATAGACAATATATGAATTAATATATTCATATATACACACACACACACATCTACTTCTTCTCTACTCTCTTTCAGTTCACTTGTTTTGCGCCGAAAAGCAGGCAATAAAAAATATTAAGTGGAACAAATCGAATAAAAATTTAGTTCGAAAATGGTCGATTTCGAAATGATTTTGGAATTCATATGAAAATTGGTTGGTTAACTTCAATGGTAGATATTGAAAGCTAATTCAAGAAGTTGTAGCTTCAAGTTCGATATCTAAATACGACGTCTCCTTTGGAAAACTTCTATAATTCGAACAACTCTGCCTATGTCAACAATTGCTTATTGATTTATTATTTTCGATAGAAGATGGATTTCAAATATGATGGTTTCATTATTAAATCAATACAAATCTAGCGAAATGTCGGATTTGACTAGAAGCTTTGGAATTAGTGAGTTCGAAAAGCATGTATATCAAAGATAGATTCAAAGTAGATATTCGAAGCTTTATCTTTGATTCGAAATGTAGTTAAGAGCTATGGTGCGATTGAGTTCGAATAGCTATAATTTACGAAGATCGAAAGTTCGAAATTGGCTAATCTGCGCACATGCCTAGAAGCATACCATAGATACATATTTGGGTAGAGTACTCTGGATTTAGTATAATCGCAAGGGAAGGAACGGCTTTACATAAATATGCATAGTAGGTACATATATGGAGTATACAAAATAGAGAGCAGCAGGAAAAGCTCGTCGAAGAGTTCGGCCAGGAAGCGGGAGTCGAGCACCTGCTGGGCAATTGGCAGGCATTGCTGCTGCTGTTGACCCTGCTGTTGCTGCTGCTGCTGTTGCTGCTGCTGCTGCTCCTGCTGTTGCTGTGGCATATCAGTTGCGCCGGTTGCCAGCTGGATAGTCCCCATCCTCTAGCAGCTGCTCTGCCACATGCAAAAAACACTGGGAGTTGACACGAGCTGCTGCTGGTGCGGCTGCTACTGCTGCATCTGCTTCTGCTGCATCTGCTTGTGCTGCATATCCCATATACATACATATATATACATACATATAGTACTCTGGATTTAGTATATTCGCAGTAGAAAGGAAGAGCTTTACATAAATATGCATAGTATGTATATAGAGTGTATTCAAGCGAAAGAAATCAGCAGGAGGCACAACGATCACTCAGCACACAGGAGCAGCTCGTCGAAGAGTTCGGCCAGGAAGCGGGAGTCGAGCACCTGCTGGGCAATTGGCAGGCACTGTTGCTGCTGTTGCGGCTGTTTCTGCTGTTGCTGCTGCTGTAGTTGTTGCTGTTGATGCTGCGGCTGCTGTTGCGAGTGCATCAGTTGCTGCTGCTGTTGATGCTGCTGTAGCTTCTGTTGTTCTTTCTGTTGCTGTTGCTGCTTCTCTTGTTGTTGTTGCTGTTGCGAGAGCAGCAGTTGCTGCTGCTGCTTCTCTTGTTGTTGTTGCTGTTGCGAGAGCAGCAGTTGCTGCTGCTGCTGTTGCTGTTGTTGCTGTTGCTGCTGTAGCTTTTGTTGTTCTTGCTGTTGTTGCTGCTTATTTTGTTGTTGTTGTTGTTGCTGTTGCTGCTGTTGCGAGAGCAGCAGTTGCTGCTGCTGCTTCTCTTGTTGTTGTTGCTGTTGCTGTTGCGAGAGCAGCAGTTGCTGCTGCTGCTGTTGCGAGAGCAGCAGTTGCTGCTGCTGCTTCTCTTGTTGTTGCTGCTGCTGTTGCGAGAGCAGCAGTTGCTGCTGCTGCTTCTCTTGTTGTTGTTGCTGTTGCGAGAGCAGCAGTTGCTGCTGCTGCTGTTGCGAGAGCAGCAGTTGCTGCTGCTGCTTCTCTTGTTGTTGTTGCTGTTGCTGCTGTAGCTTCTGTTGTTCTTGCTGTTGTTGCTGTTGCTGTTGCTCCTTCTGTTGCTGCTGCTGTTGCTGCTTTTGTTGTTGCTGTTGCTGCTGCTGTTGCGAGAGCAGCAGTTGCTGATGCTGCTTCTCTTGTTGTTGTTGCTGTTGCTGTTGCGAGAGCAGCAGTTGCTGCTGCTGCTGTTGCGAGAGCAGCAGTTGCTGCTGATGCTTCTCTTGTTGTTGCTGTTGCTGATGCGAGAGCAGCAGTTGCTGTTGCTGCTGTAGCTTCTGTTGCTCTTGCTGCTGTTGCTGCTTCTCTTGTCGTTGTTGCGGTTGCTTCTGCTGCTGCTTCTCGTGTTGCTGTTGCTGTTGCTGTTGCTCCTGCTCTTGCTGCTGCTCTTGTTGCTGTTGTTCTTGCTGCTGTTGCTGCTGCTGTGGTTGTTGCTGTAGATGCAGCGACTGTTGCTGATGTTGCTGCTGTTGCGAGTGCAGTAGTTGCTGCTGCTGCTTGGCCAGCCATGTCAGCGACTCCTGCGGCATGTCCAGCTGCGCCGGTTGGCTCCACAGCTCGAAGGGATAAGCCCTGTAGACGTACATGAAGTCGCCATCCTCCAGCAGCTGCTCTTCCACAGGCGGACCACACTGGTAGCTGACACGAGCTGCGGCTGGTGCGGCTGGTGGGGCTGGTGCGGCTGCCTCTGCTTCTGCTGCAGGGGCAGCAGCTGTTGCCATTGGCTTGGTGGTGCGCCTGAACATGGGTTGCATCGTCAGCTGCTGTCCAACCACGAGCAGCTCCAGGGGCTTGGTCTTGGCTTTCGCCTTCTTGAGCGGCGCTGCGGCCGTTGAGACAGCTGCGGCTCGACGGTGTCGGCCAGGGCCAGCAGCGCCAACAGCGCCAACTGCGCCAGTGCTGCCCATGCTCCTCTTGGCCATCTCCATTGCCAATTTGTATGTTGTATGCGTGGTTGGGTCTGTGTGTATGTACGTATAGCGATGTTTGGTATTTCAATTCGTTGTTGCTTTTGGAAATTGTGTGCACACCTAAATTTAGCTACAATTTTTACTGAACTCTCAGGCAAAGGCTAGCTGGATACATAGTAGGAATCGAGCTCCAGCTGTGTACATATGCATACCTAGATTTCCGACGACTCAGCGGATGTGGACTGCATGAGGCAGCTGACCACATGCCACATGCCTTTGCTGTGCTTCCTCTTGCCAATAAGATATGGATCTTTACAGATGATGAATGCTGCGTCTGCCAATATGTAAGAGGTGCTAAGGCGGTGTGTGTGGGGAGTCCTCTGTATGGCAGGGTTAAGCTCGAGCAGGTCAAGCTCCTCTGGCCAAAGCTTCTTCCCGTTGCAGCCCCTAGAAAAGAATGTGGAAGAGGCGGGTGAGACGGTGGCGCAGTGTGTGTGTAGTACGATTAACATTGGCTGGGTCATCATGCCCCAGAATTGTGCTGCTCGTTCTCATTGCGGACATTGCGAGTGATTCATCAACGGCTGCCTCTGGATATACGTATGTATTGTGGCACACTTAGCATCAAGTGTGGGTCATGTTCCAGGAATATCGAATGAACAACAACAACAACAACAACAAATGTCAGCTCTACCTCAGCGCAACATCAGAAGCGGGCTCAAATAACTTCAGCTTGTGGCCGACGTCAATCAATTATTGTTGGCAATTAGAAGCGTTTAAGCCGTTGTCAATGCGTGTGTCATCATCCAAATATAAGAACTGAGTAGCTGAGTAGCGCCTAAGGGTTCCGGTATCAGCGGTATCAGGTGTATACATCTATCAGGCGGCAGCTCGACGCGCCTCCTGCAAGTCTGCAAGAAACAGGGTAAACAAATTACGACATTATCGAGCAGTGATCGGCTATGACATACCCCTTGCTCTCTCAAATGCTCCACCTGCCCACCCCGGCCATCAGCAAACACTTCAATCATAGTTGGCATAGTACAAATTTATCGATTCAATGTGAAAAGCCTGTAAATATATCAATTTAAAGCAGTTTGTTTATTTTGGCGTCGGAGCTAGTATTGTAAAATTGAAAAAAATCCAAAAAACTGCAACTTAACCGAATTAGTGTTGTTCAATAGCGAAAAAGCGGACAATTATTGCTTTCATGGGCAGCACTGAAAGGCAGAGCGCGTGCTTTGTGCTGTGAAAAACGAATCGCACAGATTTTTCTCGACTCATTCTGAAAATGGACTTTAATGTGGAGGCAGCTGTAGCGGCTGCAGCGGCTGCGGCTGCGCAACGGGCCGACGGTGCCAGAACGGTGTACGTGGGAGTAGCTGTCCAAAATTCAGGCAAGTCATTTTTAATAGCAACTAATAGAAATTCAAATTTGGTGTCTCTTCTTCTTCCTGTTCGTCTCCCAACGGGAGCACCGCTAACTGAAAGTCGCTGACAATTTTTGTGTCTGTTACATTTTGATTTACATATACATACACACATGCACACATACATACATACATCAACGTCAACGTTTGCAAATTTTTCGCTTTCAATTTTCTGCATACATATATACAGTAGAGTTCGGTTATGGCGTCTGTACGGTTATAGCGACGAAAATTCTGGTCCTCAGACAACATTTTATATGCATATAAAATTTTATGAGCAAACTTTTAGGGTTATAGCGCATTCCGGGTATAACGACGGATTCTACTGTATTTCCATTTCCGCTCAATATTTCTATTTTATGCCAATATTTAATTGCAACCGTTTATTGATTGATGTATAATTTATTATTTATTTATATAAATATTAAATTATAATATATATATATATATATATATATATATATATATGCATGTATATATGTATATTATATATATATATATATTTTTTTTTTTTATACGCTGTAAATTTGCCAAATAGAATATGTATATCATATGCTGAAAGTTTCATAAAATTCCGTTAGATCAATCAACGTTCAAAAATACCAAAATGTTTGGCCAATTAGGAAACGCACGTGCAGCAGCTACAACAGTTTTCGTATACGTGTGCACACATACATTCAAAATTGTTCTAGCATATTCTTCGAATCGCATTAGCAGTTAGTTTGGCTTAGATTTGCTAGATGGCGCTGCAGCAGTGAATGTATTTCAGTTTTGCGCTCGCTATTTTAAGAAGTGCAATGGCGTTGCGATTGGCAGCGCAACGCTCGGTCAAGAGGCCCCGGGTTCGACTCCCAGAGCCGCTCAATTATTGTTTATTTTTCATTATTTCAGAATAAAAGTGCATTATGTCATTAGTTTTTTTTAATGAGTTTTTTATTTAATTTATATTTTTAAATATATCGAAATAGAAATTTTGGACCGTACTAAATGTACTTTTTTTCTTAGTTTAGTTCAGGATAGTATCTACAGTTTTCTTACTTGTTTCACAATATTAATAAGCTTTAGAATTAATTTTTAAATTAAAGTATTCATTAAATATTAATATAAATTGAGTTCATGCAGATTTTTCCAGCATATACATAATATTTTTATTTTATTTTATTTTTATATTTTTTTTGGCAACTGTAATTATTTTTAAAAATTAATACAAAAACTATTTTTTTTTAAGAAATAATTATATTTTCAGCAATTTTTATAAAATTTTATTTCGTGTAGCTAAAATTTTATAATTTTTTAAAATTTATATATTTTTATATAGTTATATATTTTATATATATATATATATTTTTTTTTTTTTGTCGAGGACAGGTAGAAAGAAGAAGAATCAGAACGAAAAACCTCCGTATGTGTTCAACAAGGATCCACGCTATTTGCCAAACTTGACGAAGCTGACCTTTGGCAAGCGCCACATCGAAATGGATGGGATTGTGATGTGCACATTGTCGCCGCAGGAGCATCGTCACGATGCGGAGGCTGCCAAGAAGTCAGAGGAGCTGCGTTGCCCAGTGTTCGAGATACCGGCCAAATTGTTTCCACGCAACGCTCCTCTCCATAAGATAATGTATCTGCCAGTGGAGCTGCTGCCAAAGGGTTTCGAGGCTGGTGGCATTTTTTCGACCGGCGTGCTGAGCCGCAAGCTCTATCCGAACGGGCTGCTGCCATCGCGCTACAGTGGAATGACACCTCCGCTGTTCGTGGGCTGTCGCCTTCCACCAGGCCAGACTCAGCCAAATGCTCCGACGGCTACAAGCGCCACTCTTCTGGACTTGGCGACGCCCGATAATGTCGTCTTGCCCACCAACTATCTGGGCCCGGAGATGTGCCTTGGCTACATCATTTCGCACACCGATTTGCTGGACAACGTGGATCGCTCTGTTCAGCGTATGAGGTCCGACTACACCATCTATGTGCCCGACCTGAGCATCGTGCCGATGATGGTGTACCATTCGACACCGCTGTGCATCACCGTCCTCTCCGAACTCATCCATCCGCACGTGAGGAGTGCGGCCGACGCTGCGCTGACCGAGCGAACGCCCAAGGTTGATTTACCAGCCAGATATTTCAGCAATGAATCTAGCATGGTCTTGAGTGAACCAGTTCATCTGCCAAGGCGCTACTTGCCGCCCGGCTTTTCTGCCGGCTGTGTGTTTGGGTCCGGCAGCCTGTCGCGATCCCTGTTCATGGAGTTGCTCAAAGATGCTCCGCCGCAGTTCATGCGCGACAATCCGGTAATACCGCCGATCTTCATTGGCCAGTGGAAGGGCAAGAAGACGCCGAAGAGGTACTTGTTTCCTAGGGAGGCCTATATGATGAACATAGAGCGTCCGAGGTTGGAAGAGGAGGTGGAGGTGATGGGCGACGAGTTACCGGAAGCAAGCAACCGCCAGAACGAGCAGCCAGCAAGTGAGCAGCCAGCAGGTGAGCAGCCAGCAGATGATCAGCCAGCAGGTGAGCAGCCAGCAGGTGAACAGCCAGCAAGTGAAGAGGCAGCAGGTGAGGAGCCAGCAGGTGAAGAGGCAGCAGGTGAGGAGCCCGATCTTGAGGGGGCAGTAGGTGGTGAAGAACCAGCGGGTGAAGAGACAGAATACCTCAAAGAGGAATATCTAGATGGTTCGGAGCTAGAAGACTACGAATACGAATACGAATTCGAATATGATCCCGAACTCGAAAACTATGAATTCGATGAGGAATCGGCATTGTCGCCGTTGGAGGAAGAAACCGATGAAGATAATCGCTCGACGACGCCCTTCGTCAACAGTGAAGATGGCCGAGAGACAGCGCCATTCAAAGCCCCAAATAATGAAATGAAAGCAATGCCAATTGGTTCAAAGCCGTATGGCGGCATTTGGTTCTTCAAAGTGAAGAACCAACAAACGGTCATCGATGCTCTGATTAAGGATTTTAAGACCGCCGGTATCAAGCTGGCCTCGGAAACCTTTGATCAGGAGACACTGCAACGTGCCTGTGAACAGTGGCTCGACCTGCAGGTTCGCCGCGACGAGATAATCGCCAAGATGGTGGCCGAGCAGAACGAGAGAAATAAACGCTTTCGGCCACGTCGCAAACCAAAGCCATCCGAGGACGAGTCCACAGCTGCGGACGCTTCCACAATCCCGCCACCGCCATGTCCCGCATCCCGGCTGGGCGGAATGTGCTTCAAGTGCGGCGCGATGCGCAAATAGTTCTTCCAGACATCACAATACCACACAAATACTTATTGGCAGCAGCGCGCGCACTGCAATCTATCGATATGCATATCGATATACACGCAATTAACATAATCACACATGCATGCACAACATACACACACATACATATAACGTTTGAAGTGCCTTGCGAAAAGTACAAACATAGACATAGGAATACCTCATATACATATGTACATATGTACATACATGCACATGAATACATATACACATATATCATTTTCATACACATACAACACGCACACACACATACAAATCTACATTTCGTTACGAATACATTATGTACACACAAATGAATAGATATGTATAGGTACCTGCAATATACACATACATGCACGCAATAACATACATGGGCAATCGTATGCCTACATATATATCTACATGCTGATTTATACAAACATACATTTATATACATATTTATTCACGCATGTATATACATATATAGGCATACACTTACACTTTTACGAACATATTTATATTTATAAGTATTATATTTATCCAAATTGAATTTTTTTTTTTTAATTTGCAATTATTCAAACACTTAAAATTGTAAAATTAAAAAAAAAACTATTTCATGCATGTATGTACATATGTATATACATATTTCAACAACATTTAATTTTTTTATATTTGCAATTATTCAAACAATCAAAATTTTAAAACTTAAAATCTAAAAAAAAAAAAAAAAAATTAAAAAATTAAAAAAAAAATGTTTTTAAAACAATTTGAAAAAATGTATTCGTGCATATGTATACTCATACATATATACTTTTACAAACATATTTATACATAGTTATAATACATTTTTTAAATTGAATTTTTTATATTTGCAATCATTCAACCAATCAAAATTCTGAAATTTAAAATCTACAAGCAAATCTACATAGAAAAAAGAACAGAAAAAATTTAAAAAGTAAAAAAAAAAAAAATCAAAAAAAAAGTAAACAGGAAAATTAAACAAAAAAATTTAAAAAATATGTATTCGTGCATGTATGTATATGTATGCGTGCATATGTATAATCACATATAATTTTACAAACATATTTATACATAGTTATAACGTATTTCTACAAATTGAATTATTTTTTTATTTGCAATTATTCAAACAATTAAAATTGTAAAATTTAAAATCTAAAAAAAATTATATTTTGTTTTTTTACTTTTCAATTTTTTTTCAGTTTGTAAATATATATATTCCTTTATATGTATACATACATATATATGAGCAAACTGAAAAAAATCAAAAGTAAAAAAGCAAATATTAAAAAACAAAATTTGAACAAATGTATTCGCGTATTTGTGTGTGTATTCGTTTATACGTATACTCATACATATATACTTTTACAACCATATTTCTACATAGTATTA